TACATATTTTAAGTTGGTGAGGAGAGAAATGGGCATTTGGACGTTTCATCGCTACTTTTCATTCCGAACATCGAATGTTGAAGTCCGTTTCGAACATCCATTTTTTCAAAAAATGATCACTTTTAAGATAAAAAGACCGGATGTTCGTAATTAGAAAAATACGTGTGTTCGGAACGATCATCGGCCAAGAAACGAATGTTCGTAAAAATTTTTAACGGATGTTCGGAACGGCAAAGACACGCACATTTCTATGTGAGGACCTGGATAATTTTAACGGATATTCGTAAAAGAAACTACCGGGTGTTTGGAATGAAAATATAGGGATGTTCGTAAAACTTTTACATGGGAGTTCGGAATAGAAACGGAGGGATGTTCGAAACTGAGGGTGTGGGTGTGGTTGTGGAGTGTATGGGTGTCGGTGCTGGTGCTGGTTCAAAAAAGACACCCACACCCTTCGTTTTACAAATATTTGAAACAGGGTGTCGGTGTGTCGGCAAGGACAAGACTTATACTCACATCCTCACTTTTCGACATACCTATGATTGGTTAGATATTAGCATATGTTATTTTCATCTATTATTTGAATTTTCTCATAGCTAGTACATCAGATCAGTATGTCCTGTGTAATAATAAATAGATCGAAGCCTTATTTTGAACATCATATAAGACATTTAATAATTTGTTTATACCTTTATAATGTCTTTTGTATCCATTGATTATCACACTATCTAATATCATTCATTGTTTTCGGCCATTCAGGGCAAAAATAGTCCGCTGAAGTCGGTCGTCCGACTGATTCTATTCTATTCAATGATCATATATAAGTGCTATCATTTGCGAATTTTATATCAACTAACCTACACATTATTGTCACTTCTCCGTTCGGTCTTGCCTGACTACAATCACTCGATTGTATCTTCCTCTTGATTACAGCTGATGAAATATCTTTTCTGTTTTACTTGTAGATCAAAATAAAAAAACTATACAACTATGGCTATAAATGATGGCGAAGAAGAAACTGTACAACAATTGATAGAAAAATTACTTGACGAGGAAGAAGAAACACAACAAGTAATCAAACAACTTAAGAATGAAATCGAAAAAACGAAACATGACGCTTAGGATATGCGACAAATTCAAGAAGTAATAAATCAATATGAAAGTAAAAAATTCGAACGTTACATTGAATCCTGAACTTGAAATACGCAAACGTATAAATGAAACATTGGATCGTCAACTTGAAATAATAAAACGTACAAATGAATTGAAGAGACAGATCAAAGAAGCAATACGGCAACAAACACATGAAGCTTACCAAAGAAAAACACGGAAGCTAGATATCGAATCCGATTCATCATCAACTAAAAAACGTCGTAATGTGTTTACATTTCCTGATTACTTTTGCGATATCGATATACCCGATGAATTGCAATCGTTCGATATGGATGCAGTATTAAATGACAATAATTATATTAAACATTATTCAAATCAATTTTCATCATATTCTAAATTAAATGAAGAAGAAATTCAAAAAGGATTTGATCAATTAATTGTTAATATATTAAATATATTGAATAATTCTACATCATTGAAATATTTAGATACATCTTCTTCATATTATTTAGCAAATAAGTTTAATCCTCACTGTATATTTATATATAAGAATATAAATATCGATATTGATCAAGAATAGCCATGTTTAAAAGATTTTATTGTTTCTTTTGGTAACTTAATGTCTCCATATGTTTCTTTATCAGCAGATTCAATGATTGAAGAAATATTACAATATTTGACAATGATATTGACAGTACAACATCATGAAAAGATATATGGTTTTCTTAGTAATTATACACACATCAAATTTTTTTATGTGAAAAAGAAATCCGATTCGGAATGGTATGAATTTTTTCAAAGCCAAGAATTAGAAATGTTTACTTATTCGTCCGAAACATTATCGTCTATTGATACGTCAACAACAGTAACAACAACTGAAAATACAAGAAAATTAGATGTTAATAAAGATACATGGAAAATATTTACAAATTTTTTAACAATGAATACTGATTTTTATCAATATACAAGATTAAATATAGATCCTCATGATGATTTACTTGGTGATCGATATATACGATAACAAAAAAATTAGGATTTGATATATCAACGATGGTTTATTTATTAGAAAAAAATGAAGATAATCATTTAGTTGAAGATTCACCACATCATGTAATGAAAATATTAAAAGAAAATAAATATTCAAAATGTTTTCAAAAAGAAGTTCAAATGTCAAAAAGATTAAAACGGTTTAATAATTTAAATAAATTTCATTTATTTTTTCAAGCTATTCTATATCTATTGTCTTCAGGTAAGGCATTTGTCTTTTGACTTTTTTCTTCACTTTTTCTATAGATTCAAAGTCTATCCATGAAAAATAATGTTAAATTTATAATTCTTCAATGTAATTTGTTTGAACAAGATGAGTTCGAATGAAATAAATGCTTCTTTTTTATATTTTGGTGATATATTAAAAGAGTACGAAGAGAAATATCTAGATAATTACAATCGATTGAATATAAGACTTTGTTTTGGTTTTTAGATCTTTTTAAAGTATATAAAACAAGGCAAATAAGAATAATTATGCAAGTTTATTTTCATGCTACATATATATGTATATAATTGTAAGATATGAAAATCTTCAGACTGTGTTTGATGTTGTAATTTTCAGTATAAAACTATAATGTTTTATCTTAAATGAAAATACATATAAATTGAAGCAACATCTTAAACAAGGATAATAATAATTAATAAAATATTTGTTGTAAAAAAAAAAGAAACAAAAGAATCATCATTTCAAATAAGATTAGTTAAAAAAGAAAAGAGGCCATTTTTTGTTTTTATCCTTAGAAGATAAATGAAAGCTCGATAAAACATGTTATTACTACTGAAGAACAACAGATTATAGGAATTAGTACTCCAAAGTCAGTTTTCACAGAAAAAACATGGAATTTTTGTGGTTAAACGCGTTAGTTTTTAGTTTCAACATGTTCAAATGCATCGGTATTTATAATACGTTTAGTAACGTTACTTTATCGATGGTATGTTGTTTTTAGTTTAAAACATCATCTAAAACTATTGTGTAAACACGTTCATGAGCAGTAGTCTTTTGCTTTTCGTGAAATATTTTGAGTAAAAATACAACTGTAGGAAATAAACTCTGCTAACGTTTCCAAATATTAGATTCAAAATTATACTATTTAAATAGATCGTGTTGTAGAAATGAATTTTATGAGTGATATGTAGTAGAATCTATTTTATTATTGAGAAATAAAGGAATAGTTGTGGAAGAAAAAACATAAATATAAATAAATTTAGTCTGATTGAAATACATGACATTAGTTATTTTCTTTAGAAGCTATAGATAAATTGATATGTCAATAGAAATTTAATTGAATCAGTTTTGCTAAATGTTTGTCTTTTTCTCTTTGGTCGTTCCAATAAATAATATTTATTCAAAAACAAATAGATGCTCCGAACGATCATAGTTCTTTCATTTTCATCAATCATTCTTCATGGGAGTGATGTAGACAACAACTTGAACATTATTTTTATCACCGTCTCTTTTTCTTTTCATGTAATTTCTTATTATCAAGCTTAAAAACAAAAAAGTCGAATATTTTTGTCAAGAAAAATCTTTACAAAAATCTATATGATTTTTCATTGATTAATTAAAGGATAAGAATATTGATATATATCAATATAGGATAAGTGTGTAGCGTATAGACATAATATGATAGATAGAAAGCTATATGACTAAAGGTATAGATGTAACGCACTAGGATTAAGGATATAAGTATGAGAGTTACAACAAAGAATATAGGACTAATGTATATACGTAAGTATATATGCCCAAATTTTTATCCATATATTTCTAGTCTTTCATGTTCATGTAAGAAAAGAGAGGATAAATAGATAGAAGTAGAAGTTTGCAAGAAAAAGATGTATTATATATTAATGAAACTCATCGTAAAAGCTGAATTTTTAAATGACCTGTTTATCTTTCTAATCAAAACAATACTTTTTAATTAAATGAATTAAAAATTAAATTAAATTAGTAAAATTTTCGTCCAATTATTTTTGTAAAAGGTTAACGTTACATCGATCAATTTAAAGATTTAAAAACTATTGTTTGATAAACGAGATAGATAATACAAAGCGAAATTTTTGAAAATGATGTTTACTAGAACAAACTTGCTTTCAGTCTGAACTCAACTAAAGCATATCTAATCTTGAGAATTCAATCTGGTAATTTTGTGATTGATATGATCTTTCTAATAAAGAACTCAGCTTAGTTATGGATAAAAGAAAACTAAACGTCTTAGAATAATTTTCAAGACTTCCGTTCATATCTAAGATTGTGATTAAACAGCTATCTATATTATTCATTCGTAGTTTAGATGAAATAATTAATAAAAAGAATATTTTACGTAAGTGACTTGTTTCGATACAAGACTACATCTCAATTTATCTATGATTGAAATAATATTTTATACTATTTCTAATTTTTTTATTGTTTGTATTGAGATAAATATTTATTCTATGAAAAAAACTTACAATGTATAGAATCATTATCATTGATACAATCGAAACAAGTTATTGATATAATTCATTATTTATATGATTGTCTTGTTATTCATCGTGATAGTAATCATATAAAATTAATTGATTTCGTTTTTGCATTTGTGTTTAATATGGATAACAAAGGGGACAGCATAGAAATAATAGGTCCACTTACATATGCTAGTGAACCATTTTTAGATTTGTATTTAGAATTATTATCTGACCGGGGTTTCCCATATTATTTTTATGAACGAACTTTTGATTTAATATGTGTATTAAATATTATAATGGCTATGAGTAATGTTGATATCGAACGAAGTAGTATTAAAATCATTGCAATCATGGAAAGATACTCAACGTACAAATAAACATTATTCAAATTTATTGAATTTAATAAACAAGCTGGATTCATGATGGTCATTAGATAAATCATCAGTTTCTCATGTTTCAAAAGATCAATCAGCAATATTTGACGTTATAAAAGATGAAATAGAAAAACTTTTCGATGTGTGAACAATTATATTCATGCTCTTTTTCTATATCACATGTTCATGTCATTTATTTTAAAATTTCACATAGCACTTCTCATTAATATTTTTCCATTCATTTCTTTTTTTTGTTTGCTTATTATTTTGTTGTTTGTTAATTTTGATCTCTATCCATACATAAACAATCATCGTCATTAAAAAAAAACAGCTTTTTTTTTCATTTATTAAAACGCGTTTTTTTGAATTTTCTAGTCTAAAGATAAGAAAATTGTATTCTATAGACGGTCATAGTCAATACTAGTTTCCAGTTGCAAAAGATTTTCGACTAAAGAAATAATTTTCGTGAAGTTTATAAAATGAATTCCGTTTGAATTAAAATAAAATCTTACGTTTTCAATCAAAATGACAATAAGCAGCAATGTATTAAATTTTGATTACGCTAGTCAAAACGCATTGTCCTTGATTATCAAGGGTGTGGACGTGAGTGCGGTGGAGGATATGGGTCGACAGTAAGAATTTGAGGCTTCGCTTTCGATCCATCCTTGATACCAAATATCTAGAGGTAGATTCAAGTGAAATTTTTGTGCCAAATAACCCATATCCAAAAATGGTACCAACCATTCGATAGAGAATCAAAGTCTGCATCTAAGACCGAACATAGATGAAAAATTGAATCCAGTTCTAACATTACTTACGTTATATAAATAAATAATTAGTTAATGTACCGATGGCATATTTTCCCATTTAATGAGATTACCTGGAGAGTGTTGTATTTTCGAACAGACGATCTTCGATTGGTTTATCGATAATTATAATAAATCCAAAACCTTTTTTTCGACTAGTTTCTGAAATCGGCTTATTTATGAGGAAGATTTACTTTTACAAAAGTCTAAAGATTTCTAAAATTAACAAGCTACTTGTAAAATGTGCATTGGTTTGTAATTTTCGTATTTGAACATATAATAACAACAGTCTATCTATCTTGTTTCTAATGAGAAGAGGTTCTTTAAGAGTAAAATTCATTCTTTTGAAAACTTGATACTGATAATCATCTTGTTGAGTGTGTTCTTATTGACATGGTCGAAGTAAATGATTTATGAACAATCTTTGCATGCTCAATCGATCTCCATTCAGATCAACTTCATGATAATAACGAATATTCTCGAAACACGATAAACATTGTTGTGGTTTAAATGGTGGAGAAAAGTTTAGCAAGAAAGTATTTTTTTCTAAGATACTAAGCGTCTAGATCATAATATTTTAATAACTGATGGAGGTTTCTATCTAATGCATTCTATATTAAAATTTCATTAATAAACTATGACTGTTAGCTTTCGGAAAAATGGACGAGGTATTTTTCGCGTATCAGAAGATTTTGTTTTAGTTAGGTTTTTTTAAACATTGCCATTCTTAAAAAGACCAAACTTAAGCATCACGGCATTTTCTACGACCTTCACTCAAAACATTAAAATAATCATAAAAGTCGTAAAGACGACGAAATGTCTAAAAAGTCAGCAACAAACTTTTTTCTGGAGTTTGTGAAATATTGTGCTTTCTATGCTCGCATTGTTAAGAATTAGCTCAAACAAAGTTTTCTGAGATCTCATAGCTACCTTGTCCCATGTTTTTAGAAAGTTCACCATCATAGTTTATCTATGAAGTTTTGATTTCGACTACATAAATTATATAATGACTGAGTGAGAAAATTATGCTTTTTTTTTCTTCATAAACAGTCAATATCAAAAGATTAATCCGAATAGAATTCTAGTCTCATAAATTATATTATTTAGTACAATTACTTCAAGAAGTATAATAGATATTTCCTAATCCTGTAAAAAGTGAATATTTGACTAGCGTTCTTTCGTAAATGCTGAGAAACAAAAATATCCATATTATGATCGATCGAAACAAACTTTGATTACACAATTTTAGTATGCATTATTCATAAAGCAACCGATGATCTCCAACTATAAGAATATATTATTTAATTTAAGTGTCGCACAGTCAAAGAGAAAGTCTACTTCATTCATTATCAAAACTTATCTTCACAAAACTATCAAATGTCATTCATTTATGCTTAAATGTGGCGACAAACAGAAGCCATATCCTCATGGTAGTACTGTCTAACTTGATGTGTATATATAAGTATAATTTTTATTGATTCCACGTTAAGTAAACATTTTTTTATTATATAATTTCAGGGTGTGGGTGTGGATGTAAGTGTGGATATAAAGAGCACCTACATCCTCCCTCACCCGGCACACCCGCCACCCATACGCTGATAGAAGTCTATTCCATATACGAAGACCAATTCTGAAACTTTTGACGCTTGAACGTGATATAAGAGGGGGCCTTCTATTACTGGGGGAGGGCTAAGGTTATGCATACTAAAGTACTTTTATAGATATAACATTTCTATTGACTGAAAGAGCCCTTCGCACCCTTTTTGAAAAAAATGCACTTTGGTTTTTTTTCTCCCGAACAAGAGAGTGTTTCAAATTAAAATATATGGGCGATTAGTATATTCAAAATTCTGTCGAGCGTATCTTTAAAAAAACTTAACTTCACTTGTCTAAGAATCATAAAATCTTTTGAGTCGTTAAGTTTGGCAAAATCATTAGTGTTAACGTCACAATTTTTGATATCTCGAACAATTAGTACAGTTTGGCCACCACATGTTTTGAAAAGAATCTTTTAACATGATTTTATAGACAAATGGTCGAACTATATTATCCACATAAAAGAGTTCGAAAATGATTTTATTGTAATTTTAGAATTTGAAAATTTTCTTTAGCCATGACAATTTTGAGCTTAAATCAACCAGGTGATTGATTTTTGTAAAACATATTAGATAAGGAAGAATGTTTATATACTATTTTATAGTGTTCGTGAACAACCATCAACCTAACAACATCTTTCACTATATTAGAATACAACAATTCTTTTCCAACAAATAATTTATTTTCAATAAAGCTGTAGTATCCCAAGAAAATTCTTTATTCAATGACAAATTTAATTAAAAGTTCGATTAGATTCTCATCGAATGTCTCGTGGGT